CTCTTTCAAAATTGAGAAATTCATGGCCCCTGGGTCAGGGGTTCTGGTATTAGAGTTGGGCTCTATTGATTATATAGTGAAAATGCATTAATTCTTTGTAAATCTTCTTCTCTGCTCCTGGGTATCATTTAAACAAACTAAGTGCATGGTTATGATAAGCATTGATGCCTTTTCAAAATTAAATTTTTAGTCCCAGGGTCAAGGGGTTCTGGTGTTATTGCGGGGCTCTATTGATTATATAGTGAAAATACATTAATTCTTTGAAAATCTTCTCTGCTCCTGGATATTATTTAAACAAACTAAGTGCATTGTTATGATAAGAATTGATGCCTTTTCCAAAATTGTGAATTTCATGGTCCCAGAGTTTGGGAGGGGGGGGGGACTCTATTGATTATATAGTAAAAAAAGCATAATTTCTTTGAAAATATTCTTTTCTGCTCCTGGTTATAAAGCAATTTTAAAACTTTTGTAAAAGTATCCTTGCCTTGCTCATCATACCTAAACACTTGTATCTTTGCTTTATAACTCGGAGTAGAAAAAATATTTTGAAAATAATTATGCATTTTCATGATATAATCAATAAAGCCCCCCCCCCCCCTTCACCAGAACCCCTGACCCTTGGGCCATGAATTTCACAATTTTGGAAGAGATATTATTGCTTATCAACACCATGCACTTGCTTTGCTTAAATGATACCAAGGAGCAGAGAAGAAGATTTTCAAAGACATAATGCATTTTCACTATTTAATCAATAGAGCCCCGCCCTAACACTAGAACCCCTGACCCAGGAGCCATGAAATTCACAATTTTGGAAGATGCACTCTTGCTCATCATAACTATGTACTTAGTTTATTTAATACCCATGAACAGAGAAGATTTTCAAAGAAAAAATGCATTTTCACTATATAATCAATAGAGCACCGCCCTAACACCAGAACCCCTGATCCAGGGGCCAAGAAATTCACAATGTAGGAAGGGGCACTCTTGCTCATCATAACAATGTACTTAGTTTGTTTCGTACCCAGGAAGAAAATTTTCAAAGAATTCATATCTTTTCACTATATATTATCAAAAGAGCCCCACCCTAACATCAGAACCCCTGACCCAGGGGCCATGAAATTCACAATTCTGGAAGATGCAGCCTTATTCAACATAACTATGTACTTAGTTTATTTGATACCAAGGAGCAGAGAAGAAGATCTTCAAAGTAATAATGCACTTTCACTATATAATCTATATAGCCCAACCCTAGCACCAGAACTCCTGACCCTGGGGCCATGAATTTCACAATTTTTGGTAGAGGGCTCAATGCTTATTACATTCATGCCAATAGTTTGACTTCTTGATGTTCATGAGTAAAGAAGATTTTTAAAGAATTAATGTATTTTCACTATATAATTAATAGATATAAAAAGATTGCAAGATTGCATTAATTTTGGTGGTTTTAGCCCCACCCCTCAGGCCCCAGGGAGGCAGGGACCATGAATTTCACAATTTTTAAAGATTGCATTAATTTTGGTAGTTTTAGCCCCACCCCTCAGGCCCCAGGGGGGCAGGGCCATGAATTTCACAATTTTTGTTCCCCTTCACCCATAGATGCTATATGCCAAAATTTAGAGCCCCGCCCTAATACTAGAACCCCTGACCCAGGGGCCATGAAATTCACAATTCTGGAAGAGGCAGTCTTGTTCAACATAACTATGTACTTTGTTTATTTAATACTCAGAAACAGAGAAGAAGATTTTCAAAGTAATAATGCACTTTCACTTTATAATCTATATAGCCCCACCCTAGCATCAGAACCCCTGACCCTGGGGCTATGAATTTCACAATTTTGGTAGAGGGCTGAATGTTTATTACATTCATGCCAATAGTTTGACTTCTTGATGTTCATGAGTAAAGAAGATTTTTAAAGATTGCATTAATTTTGGTGGTTTTAGCCCCACCCCTCAGGGGGGCAGGGGCCATGATTTTCATAATTTTTGTTCCCCTTCACTCATAGATGCTATATGCCAAAATTGATTCAGTGGTTCCAGAGAAGAAGCTGAAAATGTTCAAAAGTTTACGACCGACAGACGACGACAGACAAAAACGGATAGCAATAGGTCACCTGAGTCACTCAGGTGACCTAATAAAAGTTTCAATGAGCAAAGATATTTTTGAACATCAGGACCATTTGGTTGAGTGTTCTGGTCCTGGCCAGGTCTCTATTAATTTTTTTTAACTGAGAGAAGTTATTCCCCTTTGCCATTCACTTTTGATGATTAATCACTGTAAATAATGTATTTGAAAGTTAAAAGAATAAGAGAATTATGAAAAAAAAAAATATTGTATAATACAAAAAGTACTTTCATAGTTTTAATGATTAGGTAGACTTGTAACTAATAAACAAATAAAAATGTGACAAAAATAACTTAATAAATGCTCCTCAAAGACCAAGAGAGGAAATGTGAGAGGTCACAATATGGGGTTAAAAGTAGTACAGAAGAACTTATAGTTTGTTGATTGTCTGCATGGTGATAGTGCTAAATGGGAGATTAGAATTTAATGTATGAGTTGTTACTGAATACTAGACCAATTATTTCATTGATCCTGATCATCCTATTTCTCTTTTCTGCTTTTGGGTAACAAAGCTTCATCTATCAGTTTTATACTCTATGGATCCTCTAAATTCTTGTATTATACTCAGGTGACCATTAAGGCCCTTGGGCCTCTTGTATAACATAACTCCTTTTCAAAGTGTTCCGCCCCGTTTTTTTTTTTTTTTTTTTTTTTTTTTTTTTTTTTTTCGTTTTAGGTCATTTTTAATTCGATCACGCTCAAAGCTTTAAAGTTCCTCCCTGTTTGTGTTAAAAGTCGCGTGGCAATATTTTTAGCACAGGAGCATTTGGAGAGTTATTACATAATTATAATACAGGTTGTCGGTGGACTTTATATTCCAATTACATTTATTAGAACTATTTAGTAAAGGCTAAATCAGACACCATGTGTTTGGACAATTTGGACAATTTCGAACGTGAATAAACACATGTATTTGCATTTGATATCAATGTCAAGCGCCTCATTTATGTAGGGGTTTGATTCTAGCTTTGGATTCGAGAAGTCCCGGGTTCATATCCATGCACAGATCTAGAGGGAGGGTCGGGGTAGCTGCAGAACTGTAGCTCTCCGAAAAAAAATATATTGAAAGACCGGTCTGTCAATATTTTTTTTCGGAGAGCTACAGTTCTGCAGCTAGGGTCGGGGGGTCAGAACCCCCCCCCCCCCCGGAATTCGCAGATGTATTAAAAGTATATACTGAAGCAAACAAAAAAACTTTGGACACCCCCTCCCCCCCCGAAAACGTGAGCCCACCATCACCACCACGAAATAGGTGTTTTTCAAGTTTGGGAAATGGATTTTACGTTGTTGTTGTTGTTTTTTTGTTTTTTTTGTTTGTTTGTTTTTTTTTTGCTTTGTTTTTGTTGTTGTTGTTGTTGTTGTTTTTTTTTTGTTTTTTTTTTTTGGCTTGTCAAGAAATTTTTGGGTTGGAGATTTATTTTTTTTTGGCTGGGGTGGACCCCCCCCCCCCCTCCCCATGGAAAAAAAAAAATCCTGGATCGGCGCCTGCATATCTCAGACGATTCCGTATTTTTTTTTTAAATACTATTTTTTTTTTTTTTTTTGGAAATGTTTTTGCGATTTACTATAATTTATGATAGTACTCAACATATGAAATGAAGTTATGACGTCTGGCGTGTACAAACCTTCTCATAAAATCATTATTACAGTGTGATAAATATTTTGTATGAAATATATGGAGATATATTTACATTCAGTGTAATTTTCTTTATGAAATCCATTAGAAATCCACGACGTTCAAATTCCTATAACACACGCGAAACCTTGTCAACGCGCGGTAGAATACACAGTAGGAACTATATGCATTTTCAATACTCTAGGAACACCAAAATGTATATTTTTTTTTACTCGACTCAATTAAATAAAAAACAACTACCCTGTTAAATTAACGTAAAAATACAACAAAAGTCATTTTTTTCATCGCAATGTTCATTTGTGTTATTTAACTTTCCAACGTCACAAACGGCTCTACGTCTATTTAGCACACCGGCTCTGAAGGGCGCTAAATTTATATTAAACGAATAAACAATTATGAAGAGAGAAAATTAGAGAATGTAAATATAAGCATTGAATTCCTATTTTTGGATATCGTCGGTCCTTTAACACACCTGGCCGTGCCGACAAATTGAATACCGCGCGTTAGCATTAATGTAGAACTAAAGGGCCCTCCATTTTTGTTTAATAGTGATTTCCTTGTAATTAATTGGATCTGAACATGTTTTTAAAGAGACACCTTGACACATAAACAGGAAAATGGACACAAGTAGAATTTTTGCATGACAAATGCAAATTTTGCTCAATTCTTCAAAGTATTAGGTTTCAGAAAATTACCGGTTTCAGAAGCTTAAAAATTTACTTTTATTGAGAAAAAACATTTTTATAGCCAACACGAAAATATTGTCCTCCTTGTTGCGCAGAGAAGCTGAAGAGGTTACCTTGGTCTCAAGTCTCAAGAAATGAATGTAGGTACACTAAGGATTTTGATACAATCTCTCCCCCCCCCCCCCCCCCAAAAAAAATTATCCTAACAAATTCTTCACCTTTGCATGCTCCAATTCAATGTTGTTTAAAAGTCTTACGCCAAAAATAAAAGTCGCGTGACCTTGACGATAACAACGAAACGGTAGCTAAGACCTTTGTTCTTCCGGCACTCATAATTTCCGGTTTTTCCCATAATTTCCGGTTTTTCCTGCTTTACAGTGACGTTGATTTTGTCAAAACTTCGCTACTCATATTTTTTCATAAGTCAATCTTTCGCTTTATGACACAAAAATCTTAAAAGAAACACATTATTTTGGCGTTTTATGTCACTTTAAAACATTAAATTTCGAACTTAAGGGTTTATCACCACATATTAACGTCACTTTATAGTATAATGATGCCTGTATCCACAATTTTATCTATAAAATCATTTTGCCATGAGTTCGATAATTCTCTTCCTAAAAAGTTTTTGTCCATTTACACTGTTTGCCCATTCTGCATTCTGCGTAGATTTTAAAAGTGTTTTAAAGGAGCTTGTAATGTGTTTTGTATCGGGATTTTCCAGCAGAATAACTATGATTTTGTCACCTTTTCCATCGGCGACTGTGTGGTTTGCTATAGCTGCTTCATATTGACACCAGTGATCTGACATAAAATTATTTGACAAAACAAGGATTAATTTTCGACTGCAGTCGATACTGTTATGTATGTCTTCAATGAAAACTCCTCCTGGTAGTAAATTTCTTTCGTAAAGAAACAGACTGTAGCTATGCCTCTTTTCCAATTGTTCCACTAGTTCGGCCATTATCCACCTTCGATCTCTTGAACTGTAGGCAACAAAACCATCAAATTCCGCTTTATCTTCAGCAAGCTTTCTGTAACTTGACTGTCTGTGTGAACACATGTGGATGTAATATTTTATGTCCCATCGAAGTTTTCTGATTATTACAACAGAAAATAAAATGATGACAAGAATTCCACACACAATGAAGGACAATATTAAATACTGGTTTGGTAAATGACAGTCACGTGGTTGAAATTCGGCAAGAACATGCCCTTTCCATTTTTGTGGACTTTGACAGATGTAATCATTTGGATACTTTTTCATCCTCATGCTATTGTTTTTCAACCACATTTTGAACCATTCAAGTTTACAGTCGCAACTATAAGGATTTGAGGAAAAGTCGATGGTGATTTCTTTCTTTCTCCAGACAAAATCAGGGAGAAATGATTTCTGGATGGTGATAAGTTGATTGCCAATAAAGGATATTTTTTTGCAGTTTTCTTAGATTTTCAAATTCCTCTGCATATAATACATTTATTTTATTAAAATTTAAAATCAACTTCTTTATTTCTGACATATTCCTCACATAGGGAACGTGGTACAACTCACATTTGATAAAGGAAATTGACTTCAACTTTCTTAGAGGTTGAAGCATAACCGAGAAATCAAATTTTGCAAAGGACGAAAAATTTACATTCATAATTTGTAATCGTTTCAAAGTTGGACAATAGTTGAAAACGAATCGAAACCTATAATCTACATTCCCAATATCATTGCTTCCTATAAAGAGAGTCTGTAGAACATCAGAGGTCAAGGATGTGTTTTCTAAGTTAACACCTAATTCCAGTATGTGATCTAGAATTAGAGTTTTTAGTTTATGGCAAGTAACAAAAGAGTTTGACAAAATTATGTTAACTGGGTTGTAAGAGATATCAAGATACACTAAATTAGGCAAACATCGGCAGTGAAGAAGAAAACTGAACGTCTCCGTCAGACGGTTATGCCTTAAATGTAGCTTAGCTAAGTTCGGAAAAAAGTAACTTGCATCTCTATCTTCGCAGAAGTTAATGGGATTTTTTCTAACACATTATGAGACAGATCAATTTCTTGCAAATTTGACATATTGGAGAAAACAGCTATAGCTATTCCATTGCCACTAAGATCCAACCTTCTTAGTTTGGATAAACAGGAAAAAAACTTGAAATCTATTGCCAAAATCTTATTTTTTTTAACTACTAGTTCTTCTAATTCCCTTAGCCATGTAACTTTGAACAAATCATTTAGAGATCTTGGTTCGCGTATGTTTCCAGAAATATTTAAAACTTGTACTTTCGATATACCCAGGCGAATAAAACCCTCTTTCATACGTTGGAATGTTAATTCATTATATGATAAATCTAAAAAACGAAGATTTGTGAGGTTTATGAAGGCAAATGAAGATATTTGTTGAATATTACAATGGTCCAATGCTAGATACGTAATATCCATGCCCAATAAACTGTTAAAGATGTCGTCCCTGAGTTCTGGAATATTATTTCCCGACAGAATTCTTTGGATTGTAACCGGCAAACCTCTTGGCGCAGTGGAAATGTTTTTGTATGAACAATCAGCTTGGTATATATCAGGACAGAAACATTTAGTGTGGTAACAGAAAGACTTCGTTTTCAAACGAGTCCCCATCACAATCTGCATAATGATGACTGCAAACATCAGAAACTGCATGACGACAATCTGGGTAATGATATGAAATATGCAGTCATTGTTGTGTACAACTGAATATTCTTTAAAAAATAAAATTTAATATGTAGTTATCATCAGACATATTTAAAATATACAGTACAGGTTAGTCATGATGTTTTTCATGAACTTAGTTAAGGTATTCAATGTATAACGACCATAAATGAATGGTCCGATATTTTAAATCAAGTTAGCATTTTGAAGGTGTTATCAAATAAAAGTACTCCACCGAAGGAATTTACAAAATTTTGATTACTGTCCAATTAATTGCACCTTGAATTTTACATTGAAGTCTAAGGGTAGCGCATATTAGCATATTAAAAATTAATTTGATCTTCATACAAATATCGTGGTGAAAATATGCATAAACTCTCTCTTTATTAAAATATGAAATAAAATAAGTCATCTACCACAGATATTTTGACAAAATTAAAATTTTCTTCTTTTCATCAAGGGCAGAGAACTCTTGAAAATGTTTAAGGTGCAAAATGGCCTGCGGCTTCTAATATGTTATCAGTCATATGAATTTGGTTCATTTTACTTTCATCATTATCTAGAAATACATATTTAACTAGTTTAAAATGATTCAAAATTGTTCAATATTCCTTCATTATACATTGAATACCTTAATATTCACAGTGTAATTAATAAATGTTTCTTCACATATATACTCTTTAAAATGCATAAGTAGATGATATTCAATGTTTTGTAGTTGGATATGGCATTTACTTCACGAAGTGGACAGGATATTTTTGATATTTTCATGAGTGCGAGTTGGATATGGCAGCTTTAAACATTTTCTTTGATTTCCCCTTTGCCTCTGTCTTTTCTTAGGCTGTCATAGGCTTGGACGTCATAACCGAGCGGTTGAGACGTCATAGCTTAGCAGTTGTAAGATTGAAAAAAACATTGTAACATGGATTTTAGCACCATGCAGTTTTAGTCTCTATCAAGATGGTTTAGTTACTATCTCTATCTTATGATAGGCCAGAAATTTTTTTACTTACGTTGATATCCTTTCACTCTGTGAGAGAACATCACTTTGGTATCCTTTCACACTGTGAGAGAATATCACTTTTATTCAATAAATAAATCACAGTATTTTACTGTTAAAAATGTAATAAACCATCAGATAACATGCTATCCCGACATGACTACAATTTTGTTAAAACGGAAGAAAAAAGTTTTTAAGAAAAAATGATACTGATATATAACGCTGTTTTTCATTCGTTTTTTACGGCCATTCTCTCTCTCTCAGTATAATTTTTAAGTTTTTGTACAATGATAATAAAAACTTAATTGCATTATAATTTTGTCATTATGAAGAGCGAGTTGGATTAAGGAAAAAAAGAAACTTGAAACTTGAGTACATTGTTTCCTGTAACACATCGAAAGTGAAACTAATATAATTACATAAACTTTTGCTTTTTGTTTCCTGCAAAATACATACATTTTTATAAGGCTGAAAACTAATAAAATTTTACCGATCCTTAAAACAGAAATATATTTTTGTTATTCCTGCCCGCCCGTCGGAGATTTTAAATCATCGTTTTTCCTTGATCCTGTATTTTAGAGGTTAAAAAAATCTTGTTGCACATGATTGCATAAAGTGTAGATGTAAAAAAAAAAAGGTTTTGAGATTTCTATCTGGGTCCCAGGTGAATTAAAAGTGTGGTCCAAAATTATTTTGTCATTGAATCTCTTACATTTTCAGTGGTAACCAAAAATTTTGTATGTGATTAGGTCTATCATGTAGATGAGCCATTTAGTTTCAAGATTTTGAATCCTGTTCCAGCTTCCAAAGGGGCTCCAATGGTGCGGTTTCTCGTGAACTCTGTATACATTTTGTGTTGTAAGAACTGAATTCTTTTTGGAATTTGCACATGTGCAATAAGGTAAAGATGCTGCTCAGGTGACCTATATTTCCTCGATTATTGATCACGATAGTATGTTTACTCCCGAGTGGTAATACTTTACTAATCAAACTTATATGGATGATGTAAATTACGATGCATACAAAGAATTATGATTCTGCTTCTGCATATGATGTGTTTTTATTGAAGGGTGATCAATTGAAGCTTTATATCCTACTTTGACCGATCTTAGACGGGCTGAACTGAGTATTATCATAATGGTATTGCACGGATATCACTGAAGATGAATAGTCTATTTCTTGTGCTACAGGATCATTTAATTTTTTAAGTTACTGTTAATTCTATGTGGACCAAAACTGCATTGCTATTAAATCTGGGAATGCATGTCAGTAATAAGGCTTCAGATGCTGCACGGGACCTATATTTTACCAGATTGATCAGTGATCATAATTTTTAAAAATAGGTTCATTCCTATGTGATAACGTCAAGCTCAACAATGATATTGGATACTTACAACCAATATGATGCTATAATTTACATTTCAAATTATAGTTAAACTGAATTACTACATGTAAATACATTGGGAATCGAAAACATGGAGGTGCAATTTAATTATAATTGGAAAGCACACGAATTTAAACTGTTATACAAAGTCAGTTACGTATTAATAAGATAACTACGTACCTATTCGACTTGTTGTTGCTCCAATTTAGAATTGTTGCAAGATTAATTGTGGCAAAGTTTGGGTGTCTTCCTTCAGAAAGACATAGATGTGTACTGTTCAGATTGGAAAATAATTTGTACGTACACTTAAGCTTTTAACACTCTCACACATACACACACTTTAAGCACGTTTAACACCTTCCTCGTTTAGATGAGTTTCAATTTTATAATCCTGGAACCGTTTCATGATAATAATACAAGTAAAGCTTTTTTTTAAAAAGCTTACCTTCTTTAACAACAACCTTAAACAGTAAACTGACCTAAACATATCAGGCCGTATAATTCTTGAAAATTTCTTGGCTTTGTGTTTCTTCATTAGTTTTTTTCTGACATAAGCCCTATCAAGTGAAAAGTAAAAAGATGCTCGACTGTCTCCGTAAACTTCAACTCTGCCGCTGAGATCATTCGGCAAACCTCGGCTGATTCCGTCACCTTTGTGATATGTAGATGAGGTACATGTAGGTTGCACAACAGTATTAAATTTTGCTATATATTCTTACCAAAAATGCGCAACTTTGAGTAGGTTGTATTAATTGAAAACAACTTTTGAGAAGTTTCCTTCTCAGATCTTGTAAAACAATTCTTTATAAAGATTTTAATGCCAACAAATACATAGCCATCCAGCAAGGCACGCAAGTTTGTTTCGGTCGAAGTCGAGCAGGTGCTTGAAAATCAAGTCCAGGACCTAATCACTCCCAACTCAAATACAGTATATAGAAAAATCAGCAAGCCCTAAATTATAATGAATCTAGTCAATACAGGAAGTTTACATATTGTTTTTCATCTCATAAAAAAAATCAGCTGCAGTCTCATATTAAAATGCCCGAATCGGAACGGAAGATTCAGGAATTATTTTGCGTCAGCCATGATTTGACGTGGATCCCCACTGAGAACGGCTGATAACAAGCAGCACCATCACTTGACGATTTGCAGAGCAACAGATAAGAAGTGTATAGCCAGTGTTAAGAAGAAAAGACAAACAAGGATAGGTAATATATTAATTTTAAATTAACAAAAGCAGCTGAGGGCTATTTAGCAATTCCTGCCGCTCAGGGCAGAAGTTAATGCATGACATTTTAAGCCGCTGAGGGCTATACATTTTTCCTGTCGCTGAGGACAGAAGTTAATGCATGAAATTTTAAGCTGCTAAGGGCTATACATTTTTTCCTGCCGCTGAGAGCAGAAATTAATGCATGAAATTTTAAGCCGCTGAGGGCTATACATTTTTCCTGTCGCTGATGACAGAAGTTAATGCATGAAACTTTAAGCCGCTGAGGGCTATACATTTTTCCTGTCGCTGATGACAGAAGTTAATGCATGAAACTTTAAGCCGCTGAGGGCTATACATTTTTCCTGCCGCTGAGAGCAGAAGTTAATGCATGAAATTTTAAGCCGCTGAGGGCTATACATTTTTTTCCTGCCGCTGAGGGCAGATGTTATTGCATGAAATTAAAAGCTGTTAAGGGCAAAAGAAATGGTTCCTTAAGGCTGTACATAATTATTCCCGCCGTTGATAGCAGAAGTAAAATGCAAGCTATAAATAACCACTAGGGTGTGTTGGAACGCATGGAAGTTTAGAAGCCGCTGAGGGCCGATGTTAATGTTTGAAATTGAAAAACCGCTGAAGATTATTTATAACTTAATTTAGTACTAGTTTGTAAAGTCAAGCTGCTAAGGGCTGTTTAAGGGTTTGGTTTTGTGTGCAGACAAGTGAGACTCACTAAAAATAAAAACCTTAATATCTCAAAAAT